CCATGGATGCCCCGTGGGAGAGCGGGATGCTCTGTGTTCCGAGAAGCGCCGTGGTTACCACCAGTGGAGTCTGGAAGTCCAAGGTCAGTTGGCAGTTTCCTGGTGAGCCTGGTTTTGGGGAGCTGGTTGTCTCGGGGTGCAGACAAGTGTTACCTAGATCTACACGTGGGGTGTAGACAATGTCAAGACATTCCCAGAGTTCTTTTACCAAAGGGCAGCTCAGACGACGGTGCAAGGGCCTGTGAACATAGGCAGATGGGGACAACTGTGGGCCAGCGGTAAGATGACTGCTGTAATGTCCCAACGAAGGGATGAAGAGTCGCAGCTCTACACTGTGCTCCCCCACGTACGAGTGTGTGTGGTCCTCTTGAGAGTCTGCCCTCCCCAGGGCCGGGCGCTCACTGAGTCCCTAGGAACAGCCCAGGGAACCCAGGAGCCTGCGAGAGGGGCGACCTCCTCTAGCACTGTAACTTCTTTCAAGGGACTGGAGTAAGGAAGGTCACCCCTCCTGCAGGTGGCACAAGCTGGAGGGCCAAGGGCTGGCTCCATCATGTCACAAGCAGATGTCAGCCGCCTTGTTGAGCACAGGGAGCTGTTTCCAGGGCCGAAGGCACAGGCCCCTCAGCAGCAGGTCCCGTGCTCAGTGCTTATGACAGCCTCTGTTTCAAAGAGAGCCCAGCACGTCGTGATAACTGTGGCTCCGATGGCATATCGTATGGGCCTAGGACAGTTTTTTAATCAGAAGCCTAGGGACAACTGAAAGCCCTCCTCCAGAGCCTCACATCACTGCCAACAGGGTTAGAGGCCCTGATGTGACAACCAGTTGCTGTAGAGGGTAAGTACCCTGGGCTTAAGCAGGGCTTGAACTGCTCCCTTCGCTGTGAAACCGAAACCATGGTGCTGTCCACTGCCACCCGGAGGGTTAGGATCTTTGCTGCAATGGATGCGGGGGCAGTGGCAGCAGCCGTGTTACTGAGGGGTCCTGCTGGGCCCTCTGGGATTTCCCCACCTACTGTCTGTCATCCCTGTCTCCTCTGTCTGAAATAACTGCTCCTGAAGGAGTGACCATCTGATGGGCTCCCCTCATTCACCAGGCATAATCATCCTTGTACCCCCAAGATCTGTCCCTAATGTCTGGGCAAACCCAGCGTCAGTCACACATTCTAGCTAAATACACAGTAGGGTTCCAGCCAAGACACTGACCCAGGAGCACTGTAAGGAGGGTTCCATTCTCATACTCTGCTCACAAAGGACAAGGAATTACTTAAACTGCCAACCCGGAGTCCTGGGTATACAGACCCCAGGCTCGGTAGATCCACTACACAGCACAGGGCAGCACAGCCCACAGGAGAACTCCCCAGCAAGCAGCAGCTCAGTGCGAGGGCCTCCAGGTCCACATTGGCCTGACAGATAAGGAGCACTAGGGGGAAAGGGAGGGGTGGGGTTACGTTGTCAGGAGTCAAACGTCAAGTAGGTGAACCTGGACTACTCACTGCAAGAACAAATACGAGTAAGAAAAATGTTCATCATACTGGCCAGTTTTTATATAAAGAAATTAACAAGATGATTAGGAAGTGATCAAAACTGGTTATGAGTGTGGCTGGAGTGAGAGCTCCAGAGCAGAGCAGGATATGCAGGCAGAGAGTCTTCTGTAGTTAGTTACCTATCTCAGAAACGTTCTTAACATTCCCATGCATATTAATTTAAAGTAAAAAGTGATATGTGTATATACCATATTTCCTATGATTTATCATTATTTTAAATTAACTTTTGCTTTTTAAAATTAACTTTTCTACATAGACACCACTCCACGATTTAATCCTTTAAACACTAAATGATATAAAAATGCAGACCATAAAGAATTTGTAAATCACTTTCTAACTAAAAGTACAAAAAGCATTGACAATTTTCTCTCTGCTATATTTCACAATAAGGCTACATTAGGAGATGAGTAAGATGTTATAATGCATTAGATTTGCAATTAAGCTCTGAAATGGACAGGGAATTTCAAATATTTATGTAAACTTTAAGGCGTTTCCTCATATTATTGAAAATAAATATTCAACTGTTTTTTTCCTCCCTTACATTAAAATTAGAGTTCCTTTACCTTGGGAACAATAGTATAGCCTTTTACACGTCAAAGTTCTCTAGGACAGGGACATACAAAACAGACCTAAAAACGGAAAATGCACTTGAGCACTTAAAAACACCCATCTCATATCTTAAGTTTCTCTTGCCTGAATGGAAGAAAAATTCTATTTGGGTCCGCAATTTTCTGTCCTTACTCACATCGTATCTCTCAATCAACTTCCAATTTAAAACCCCCAGTTTTAATGAAAACTGGAATCAAAGGGCTGCAACATTTAATGAATAAAGGAATCCGACAAAAAGAAAGAAATATTGGAATCAAGGCAGATAAGCAACCTGCCTCCCTGCACAGAAACACATTCAGAAAGTTGAACATAATCACAAACTTGGGGGTCTAGACACCCCTGGCTGGGACAGAATCCCTGGAGAGGGTCAGTCCCTGGGGAAGGAGGGTAGAACGCTTGAGCCACTCTAGGAATGAAATCTGGGAGCCCAATACCTACCCCCTATCCCCCCACCCACCTCCTGTAAGCATGGAAGCACTCCCTCCCACCAGGGGGAATGAAATCTGGGAGCCCAATACCTACCCCCTATTCCCCCACCCACCTCCTCCCGCCAGGCTTCCATTCTCACAGTGAGGAAACTCAGCCTGATTCAGCTTAAGTTCTGACCCCAGTGAACTCCCCAATTCATAAGCCCTTCGTTCACAAGACAGAACCCCTGATCTTCACAGACTTTCTTCTTGTGCACAAACTACACTCTGAGTGCACCTAATCTGTTGATGCAAAACTCAAAACGTCTAAAAATGTCTAGGCCTGAGGATATCACAACCTCAGAAAGGGCATCATCCCTCCTGCCCCGCCCATATGTACACCTGCACCCCCGGCTTTCCAGGGCTGTAGTTTCTCTCAGTGTAAAGTCTCCTTCCATTGTAGGTATGGGCAGGTAGGACACCTGCAGGGGAGGCTCCCAGAAGAACCAAGTGGGCCTTCAAATACTTCTCTTTTATAAAATAATAAGTAAAATAAAATAAAATAAAAATAATAAATAGAGCCACATTAAAATGGAGCCAGAGCTGCCATCCCAGAAGAAATGCATTGTATGTCTTATGCCTCAAATCTTGGAATGTTAAAACAGGGCAAAATAACCTTTGGACTGGGCCTAACCAACATTGTGTCCCAAAGAACAGTTTGCAAGGATAACAAGAAAGCAGATATTCTCACTACAGAACTGATGACTAACTGAAAATTTAAAATTGTTTAGAATTAGCTGTGTTATGTCACTATGCTACATCATCTGCACTAATAAAAATGCCTTTCTTCTATTGATGTAATGGTTCCCCTTTCCTTTCTCATAAATATCTCTTGCCTTTATCTCCTAATTGGAACATTAATTGGGCTTCTGCCTGAATCGACTCTTCCCAAATGGCTACTCTATTGATCTCAAATAAGTTCTTGTTACCTCTCACTTTGAAAGGGCTTTTTTGTTGTTTTCTTTTCTAAGTTAACACTTCACAAGCTCAAAGGAGCCTTGGTTTGAGTCACTGACCACAGGTCTCTCTGCTCTCCATTAGAGTTGCTTGGGACCATCAGTGATATGTTAAATGACACAAATCCAGTATTTATGTGGAAAGGAAGAAAATTATAAAGGTTTTTTACTAGTTCAAACAGAAAACCTGAAATATCTTTTTTTCAAAAGTCAGTTAATTACATTTCCAGGAAAAGAAAGTAATTTATAAATAATTAATAATACTTGAACAATTCTACTCTGCAAGGCTAAGCCCTCGAATTGTATTTTAAAAACACCCCAAATAAAACAAACCTCAGAAATGTACTACACACATGCTCAGAAAGAAAGAATGAAAGAATAATTCTATTAAAATGGATAGTAATATTGGAATACTTTATTTTCTGAATTCATCTCTTTTGTGCCTGTTTGGAACTATTTTATACAGTGTTTCAAGCTCTACTGATTAAATACATTTTATCCCTATTGAAAAAATAAGACTTAAGTCAATAAATGTTTTCAACTGACAAACCCCGTGAGGGGCAGTGGTGACAAGAGACAACATGGAGGAAAGTTTCCCAAGAGGAGCCTCCACCCAAAGGACTTCCCGAAGGACGTCTGTGCCCAGGGACGGTCCTAGGTGGGGAGGAACCCAGATTTCATAAGACGTATTCAAGGAGGGTGGTTATTGTTGGCTTTCCTCTCACGCAAAATATCCGTAAGCAAATAATAAATCTTTTTAATAAAAAAGAGCATTGCAAGGCTCTGGGTAAAAAATAAACCATTAAAATATTGGGACTGCCTGAAATAAACACGGAGAAAAAAATAGTTGATAATGATGCTGTGATTCGGAGGGGGGACGGTGGCTTAGGGAATGCCTGTAGGTGACTGGAAATTTAGGGGCTTATTGCTAGCCCTAGGTGAACATAGGTTGGTGGGGGACAGGGAGGTGGATTTCAGACCCTGCTCCCTAAACCTTTGGAAAACTCAGGAAAAAAAGGGTCACCCCCTAGGAAGAAAGAAGGGACCGGGGATCCCACAGACCGTAGCTCCTCCCACGCATGAACCAGGATGCCCAAGTCACGACTGTCCCTCGATGACCCATTGCGTAGTCACTGCACCATCTGCAGAGGCACGGAGCTGCGCGCAGAGCTGTCCAGGGAGGCTCTGCGGCCAGGGCCGAAGTCGCCGTGCGCAGAAACGGGACAGTACGACTGGGGTCCCGGCTGCCGACCCAGCCCCCACGCTTCGCGCTGGAGGGGACCGAGGTTCAAGCGGCGCCCGCGGGCGGAGGCGGAATCCGGTGGCGGACCCCAGACTTGTCCGCAGGGAGGCCCGAGATCCGCCATGGCCGGTTCCAACCAGCCCCTTGTCCCTGTCTCCCCACGCCACAGCAGAATACTCACCATTTCTAGGTTTCCTGCGTCTCCCTGAGTCCTTCCTACGACTCCAAGACCAGTGCAGATCACAGCGTGACAGAGGTTGCGACAGAGCCACCAGGGACCATCAACCGCAGGCAACACCAGACTCTGGGAGCCGCAGGACGCAGTTGAGACGCCCACGCCTGTGCGGCACATATCCCCACCCACCTGCCCCAGCGGCACCCTTGATTGGACAGTTCCCAAGGCCGCGCCCCCTCATGCCTGAGTGACAGCTGGCGGCAGAACGCAGTCTTTGCTGAAAGGGCTCCGCTCGTCTGCAGTACCAGACCCAGCCTGCAGAATTACCAAAAACAGATTTTTTTTCTAGTCCTGGGGCTACCTGTGTTTTCTTCCAGCTCTTGGTGAAGGCCAGGGCACAGGTGTGCACAAGGAATTCCTGATTTAGTTTTCAGATGGAGCAAGTAAGTGACTCAGGGCAGGCCTGACTGGAACAAGAGGACCTCATGTCTTCTAGGGACAAGGGCTTGGCCATAAAGCTGAGTCCACTCATGGACTTCTGATCCTTGTTTAGAAACACAGGCGCTGATATGTGACTGCACCATCTTTAATAGATTCTGGCTCCACATTGGTCTTTGATCCTTGCAAGCTTTGAGTCTTCCATTCATCCCTTCCTCGTCTTAAGTCATTTGGTCCTTAAGGAAAAGAAGCCCAGAGCTCTTGGCTCTGGTGAGAAGGTGGAACCCACAGCAGCCCCGGCCTAGGCTCAGGGACTCATTTCAGTCTAACCACAGGGCTTGAGATGTGTTCCTTACCCTCTCAGGTGTTCATTTTACAATGGCAAGAAATTTAATTTTGATAAGTTTTTGCATTACTCCCTAGAAAACTTTGAAATGCAAATGACTGTAATATCACTAAGATTTCTATTTTTAATAATATAAGAAAAACAATAAAGATTACGTAAATATGGGATGCACCTGGAAACTGTCTCCCCTTCACAGATTTACTGAGGGATAATTGACTAATTGTCTATATTTAAAGATTACAATATGATTTAATATGCATACATTGCATTAAAAAAAATACTTGAAATTTGCTAAAACAGAATTAAGCGTTCTCACCGCAGGCACAAAACAGTAACTATATGAGGTGATGGCTGTGTTAATTAACCTGGAAACTAATATGCCTGAGAGATTGGACTGCAAAACTTTTACACTGAAAAACTCTTAATGCATTTATTTATTTATATGAACAACTTTTACTGAGATATAACCCACATACTACACACTGTACCTCGTCGAAGCGTACAATTCAAGGTGTACAATTCAGTATATTTGCATATACATACAGTCATCACCACAAACTATTTTTGAACATTTTCGCCACCTCAAAAAAAATTTTTTTTTAACCCTCTACTCTTTTCTATAACTCCCAATCATCCCATCTTCGTTGTCCAGTCCATAGCCCTAGGCAACCCCTTATTTACTTTCTGTCTCTATAGATTTCCCTATTTGTGGATTTCATAGGACAGGAATTCTATTATCTATGGTCTTTGAGATTGACTTCATTGACATAACATCATTTTTTTCAAAGTCATCCATGTTGTATCTTGTACCAAATACTTCATTTATTTTTATGGCCAAATAATATTCCATTGGATAGATAAAACGTGTGTTATTTATCTATTCATCTATTAATGTACGTTTGTTTTTTTTCCACTCTGGTTACTATTGATGCAGGATAGGGAAAATTCCTCCAAGTGGCTCTGTGCTGAGAGTGAAAGGATTCTTGACTGAGCGCAGGAAAAACTTTAAGCGCACACTAGCGTCAGAATCAAAAGGGAAGTTTATTAGAGAACAGGTAACATTCCGTAGACAGCATGGTCTCCTCTCGGAGGCAGAGTAAGAGAGCCTGAGAGAGGCTCAGAGGGGCAGAAACAAGGAGAGGGACTGAGAAAAGACAGTGAGAGGGACCCCAAGTGTTCAGGGAATCCAGTTTACATATCATCTTGGTTTCTATGAATTACAGTTAAAGACTTCGTTTACCTATTTTTATTTGGTGGTATGGACATACATTGTAAAAGGATAAGAGTGTAGCAAGAAAGGGTAAGACTATGTAACATGAAAGGACTGATGGCAGTTCCCAGCCTTTTATCCATAGGTTCCCCCACGGTTTTAGCCATAGGGAATGAATGATTGGATTTATTTTGCATAAGGTGCGATTTAAAGACCGTTTCCCAATTTTCCCTTCATTGTGTGGGGAAATGGTTTGTTAGCAATCCCAGCATAAATCTTCCATTGTTCTGCAGGTTTTCTTATGGTCTGGCTGCAGGGCTGATCAGTGTATTGCAGTCTTGAATATAGCTTGATTTAATTTTAAGTTCTCTTGTCTCCTCCCTACGTTATTAAGATTTATTTATTTTTTCTTTCTTTCTTTCTTTTATTATAACATTGTTTATTATATGACTATTTTTTTACAATACAAACAAAAAATACAGATATGCAATATATGAATACAACTAAATGCAGAATGGTGACTTTTTTTTTTTCAAGAGGCCGTGATACCCATTTCTAGTAAAATAAAGAGGCTGCACATAGGTAGAAATAGGTTGGTCATTAGCTTCACAGTTTTACCTAGAAATGATCTATAGGATGCATGCACCCTCTCCCCACCAGCTACTTATCATACAGTGTAAAAAGAGAATTAAAGGAAAGCTTTTTGTTGGTCCCTACCATACAAAAGATGCTATATTCTATTTTTGCAGAGTCAATATGTGGACAATACCTAAATTGTTATTACAGAAATGAGGCAGTAATGAGATTCTGGCTAAAGAAGACACTAAATGAGAATAATATATATTTAAAGAACCCAAAACAAACAAAAAGACTGTTATGAAAAAGATCTAGGTGCATTGCAAGCATATAGTTTTTTTTCCATGTATATTTTTACACAATGGAAATGTCAAACAAATAGGGTCAACTAAATTACATTATTGTATATGCTGCATTGAATAGAATGTTTGTATTATAATTATCATAGAGAAGCATAGTTTGCATCATATTATGGCAGTTTAACCCAGTAAAAATCTTACAGAGTCTTTTTATTTTGGAATCTACTGTATATAATCAAACCACCAGAACATGATTGTACAACAGTAAAATGTTTTCTCACATAAAATTGAAGACATCTGTTTAATTTTTTTAAATGTAGGAAAGGTACTTAGAGCTGTTAGTTTTTAAATGCACCACACCTAGACAATTCAAGGCATATCGATCTCCACCAAGAACATAAAAAAATAACAATAATAATTTATTATAATAATATAATATATTTATTATATTCATTATATTATTATTATTATTATTATTATTGTCATGCTGTTAAATCTATTATTAAGGATAAAACTGGTGCAAATTGGTCAAAAAGATCAACAAACATTGATGTCCAAGCTGGCATATTTGCAACTAATATGTAACTGGTGGTCAACAGAGGGTTTAAAAGATCTTCCCTTTCTTCTTGTTCTTTTCCAAGGTTCTTGAGGAGTTCTGTTACTCTAACATACATGTTGGGCTTCCCAGTTTGCTTCCTCAACTTCAAACTGATGATGTTTTTTCTCTAATTCTTTCTGCTGTGCTTCCAAATTCTTTTTTCATTTGCTCATGGCACTGTTGGAGCTCAGCCTCAGAGTCTGTTAATTTTTGAACTTTTTTTTGGTCCTTCATCTCAAATACCTGTTCCATCTCCATTTCCACCTTCTTCATCTTAGCTACACGTGTTTTTCTTCTTCTATTTATGCCCAAGGGATACCCTTTATTCTTGTTATTATCAGCTCCACTAAAAGTCACAGCTGCCAGTTTTCTGTTCTGAAAGTTCTCATTGTGTCCATTCTTAGTAACATCTCTCAAGTCCTGCATGCGTGTCCTTGTCAACATATTTCTTAGAATTGTGAAATCACCATTTTCACCATTGTCAACTTCAGCAGCACCCCAAGGATACTGTCTTTCTCTGATGCCTTTGCCATTAACTTCGATAATAGCATTACTATATCTCACAGCAAGAGATAAACAGTCTTTTATCTTTTTAACAAGCTTATTTTCTTCATCATCATCTGTCTTTGGAAACTCATATATTTTAATTTTATGTTCTTGGATTTTCTTTGTTATCTGCTTTTTAAACTGTTGGCACTCTTCCAGTGTGTATCTGCTTTGGCAATAAGTGGGGTGATGTTCACTTTTTCATGCAAATGCTTCATAAACCCAATATCTAATGGTTTAAGTCCATGTCCTAAAGGACCAATGAAATATAAACAACCCTTTACCTTGTTATCAGGCGTCTGACATCTGAACTTTTTGGGACCTCACTCAAGATTCGGCATAGAGGTGGTCCTCAAGTTGACTACCAATGTAGTGGCTAACAGGCTGCCAGCAATTACTATTATCCACTGCATCTCTAAATCTTGGGTATCAACTATTGTTAGCAGCAACTTCTTTGGTTAAAACTGTATTGTTCCACCTGTATGATCTTTTTTATTCTATGAGAAAGACCTGAGTACTCTGGAGAATACAAACGTGTGAGAATAATGAGTTGATTAACTTTGATTTTCCCAGTCCAGATTCACCCACAACCGTTAAGTGTGAACTCAAACCCTCTCTTCACTGATTTATTTTTTATACTTGATTTGGGAGATGTCCTAATCCCACACAGCCTTCAAGTTTCTCCAGTTGAGCTTCCCAGGCCCTCTCCCTCTGGAGGGAAACTCCACAGCTGGTGCTGTAGCCGCCCACCTGCTTACCAGGGCAGTGGGAGCTGGGGGGCTTGGCAGAAAATGACCCTGCTCGGACTGCTCTGGAAGCCATGGTGGAGGCTGGGGCTCCAGGATTTGCTTTCTGTTTAATACTGAATGATAATCCCTTGTATGGCTGTGCCATTTTTTTTTTTAATCCATTCATCTGTTGATGAACACTTGTGTTACTTCCACCTTTTGGCCATTGCGAATAATACTAATATGAACATGGGTAGACATACATCTGTTTGAGTCCTGGTTTTCAATTCTTTTGAGTAAGGCTGGGGCTCCAGGATTTGCTTTCTGTTTAATACTGAATGATAATCCCTTGTATGGCTGTGCCATTTTTTTTTTTAATCCATTCATCTGTTGATGAACACTTGTGTTACTTCCACCTTTTG